TTCAGTACAAATTACTTATGAAATAAATGTATGGGTATGTACATTTACATACCCATCTATGTATGTACAAGTATCTAGCATGAACAGGAAGAGATGTTACTGTCTGGATTTTAGGTGAATACTTGGAAAGGATAATTACATGTAGATCTTATGGAATTATGACATTTCAGATTTTTCTACAGCTAATTTCTCTTTACCCTTAGGCCAAAATTAGATCTGAAGATTGAATTAGTACCTTGTCCATGACTGAGAACTTTGAAAGTTTCTGTGTTTATACAACACTTTGAGTTACAAATCAACCAGCCACATTCTAGCTGCAGGCAGGTTTTTTTTTCCTCCCCTTCTTTACAAGTGGATTGCTACACATCAGGAATTCAGCTGCCCTTCTCCACGCAATTTGTATTACATTTGGCCATGGCTCAGATTACCAAAGTCTTGATTAATGTTTACAATATGTTTTCCTGGTTAACCAAAGTTTTAAAGCGTTAATGGACCAAAGGAATACTCATTTACAAAATTCTCTCTCATCTGTGGATAGAAGCAATCTAGGAAGAGGAGTGTGTGCAATGGGTGTGTGTATGTGTGTTCGTGGTGTGTGCATGATTGTAGGTTAGCTATGGCAATCTTTAGGTTTGCTCCATAGTATACCAAAAACAGACCACCAGAGGGTCTTTTGACTGATACGTACAAATTGACAGAACTTCTGTCAAGCCTTCAAAGCCCTAAGGTTTCAAATCTTGCCAGTGGTAGGAAGACACCATCGGATACCACTGAGATAACATTTCTGTACTGTTCTGACCTAGGCTTCCTTAGAAAGCATGAAGCAAAGTCTTAATACCGGTAAAACCCCTTTTATTAACACGACTGTGAATTCCGTTCATTCACAGTCAACAAGGCTTTGGCAAACAGTCTTTCAGAGGAATGTTTATCAACCCCCACCTTATCTCACTTGGAACGCTGCCAGAGAACCAATTTCCAAATGCAGGGTAAGGCTAAACTTGGCACCGGGTCTATTAGAGTCACAAACAGAACTTTCCAATCTTGAAACGAGATGAACTAATTGCTTCCTGGAAAACCCCACATCCCATTTACTCCTCTTTTATGTCCTATGGGAGGTGCCAATCATCTCCAAGGTGTGGCCTTACTCCTGAGTCTACCCTGCTTTCTTAATTGTTCTTGTCTTCTGGCAGCTCTGCGCATGTGTACACTGGGAACGGGCTCCAGCTGGTCCTCTGCCTCGCTGCTGTCTAACTCCCTCTCTGCCTCTGACGCAGAGCCCTCGTCCGAGTTTTCCCCAGCCCCTAGGACTGGCCCACGTTCTTCCTCAACCTCCTCACTGTCTGACTCTGCTGCCAGCTGTGCTGGCCACCGGCAGGCCACAGCATGTACATTTTGTAAATCCCACAGCAGAGATCTACCATATCACCATCATCACCCAATATTAAGAACTTTTTTTGGCCTCTTATAATCCCTGCATTGGGTGGAACAAAGGCTCATACTACATTTAAAAGTGTTGAAAACCAAGGAATAAACAGGAAAGTTAAATGACTCCACTACTGCCCCAAAAAGTACAGATGCTTTTTGACAGCTAGCCTGAACATAACAATATTTGGCTACTAACCTAGCCCTTTTTTTGTAAAACAAAAGTGAAGCTTTTGTTGGAAGATTAGTGTGGATAATTTCCAGATTGCGTTTGTACCCAGGATGCTCCCAATCTATCTCAACATTCAGGTCAAATCAAGATCAGAGCAAGCACGTATGCCACTCAAAATAGTTAGTAAAAATATAACATGGTGTTTATTAAACATCAGCAAATATCAAAACAATTAGCTAGCCTAATAAGGTAAGAAGCAGACAAATGCAGGGGATGGGTGATGGAGTGTGACATGAACAATAGAATCTCTATCATCTGTGCCAGTCTGTTATCTGATATTTCTATACAGAACTTTCCAGAACTATTGGAAACAATATAATATTGGACAATTTCTAATAAAGAATGAGCTTTGTTTATTCCTTGTACACTGCCTTTAAAGGCCCTTTGATAGTGAGATTGGTGGTCTCTAAATTCAACCGATAAATAAATCCCAAACATAACCTTTTTATGTGTAGAATAGCAGCAGAATGAGATGGAAAGTAGGAGACCAGATGATTATCATCCTCTATTTGGCACCGTGAAGAAATACTTTGGTAAAGAAGAACGATGGATCTAACAGTTTTGCCCTACTGGACAGTTCTCTTTAACCCAGGTGTCTCCAACCTTGGCAACTTTGAGACTTGTGGACTTCAACTCCCAGAATTCCTAGTTCTTTGGAGGTTACAGCAACTACTTGTCAAAAGATCCACTCACATCGGTGAATAATCTGCTTTATTAGAAGATTAGTTTAAGTTTTGAATTTTGAAATGTAATAAACCTAGAATAGAAGCAGTTACTGTTACTAGTTTGAATAATGCTTAAGAGGACTCTCGAGGATGGAGAGAGCACTAAACAACTTATTAACAGTTCTGAAAAAATGAGAAGTAGAGGTGACTGGTGCACTGAAGCACTTAGCTGGCATCACCACTGTTGCGCCATCTGTTTTTCTGGCTTCAAATGCAAATTTACTTTACACCAATGCACCTCTTGAATCTTCTTTCCACAAGGAATTGAAGAAATGAAAAGTTAAATCATGTATGGGGCTGTAGGAAGTTAACACCTACTCCTTTCCTAGAAGAATGAAATATTTTAGGAAATATTAAAAAGGCAGAATATTATATTTCCCTGGTTGAGAAATGGAGAAACATGTTTTAAAGACAAAGCAGCTCCTACATTCCTGACCCCCCCTTTGTCAATGGACCATCATCTGCAACACAATAGGACTCATCTAGCAACAGAAACTAACACAATAGGACTCATGTAGCAACAGAAACTCACCACATGGCACCTGGGAAGATTACATCAGCCAGAAAGGCTAGCTAAAACCCCCACTCCCTGAGTCTGACAACCAATCAGGATACTCTTTCAGGGCCCCAGGAAGTTCAAAGCCAGAGAGGGCATAAAACCCGGGGGACTCGCAGCATCTCTGCCCTTTTCTGTTCAGGAACTCAAACCATGTGATCCTGTCCACCATTAAACCATCTTTCAAAGCAGTCTCCATGTTTCCAGTGTGTTTTTCCCCACTTGGAGCTGAACCCAGAAGGATATTTCTTCTAACAGGGCCATGTCACTCTTTACCCTGTGGGCAGGAATAAACCATTTTGGCAAGCTCACAAATTCAGATAAGTAATATTTAATGAAGAAACTTGAGAGCCGCAAGCAAAGAATTTCAGCAAGTGTTGTAATTTAAGAAGCTCTATGTGTTGAAACAGTGTTCAAACCCTCATGGGGTTCTTTCTTATTATGCTTGGTCCCTCTTTTGAGTGAGTTGGCTTTTATTTTTGTAACTGTTAGATTGGATACGAGGCTGTTCCTTGCTGGCTGTCAGAAAACTAATTTTCTCAGCCACTTGCCTGTCTTAAGTTAGTTTAGGTAGAAGAGAAGAACCAAATAGTTGGGTTGCTGGATTAAAACATGCTACGGCAACACTAAACTGTAATAGTAGATTGAAATAGTTCACTAGTAACTGAAATAGTATTTACAACTAAATTAGAGAGCTTCCTGGGCAGAAAAGTGAATAAGGTGAAGAAACCATATTATTATTTATTTATTTATTTATTTATTTATTTATTTAGTCACATTTCTATGCCGCCCAACTCCCAAGGGACTCTGGGCGGCTTACAACAAAGAAAAATGATATAAGGAAGATGTTTCTCTTTGATTTGGTTATAGCAGGCATTGCATTAGCAGTAGACTTTTTAGGTAATAGTTGGAGGCCAACCCTGTTGTTACAGGATCTGTTTTTTTGTAGTACAATGAACCAATGAATGTCTGAAATCTTGAAATGCCTCAAGGCAAAACTAGATAATTGGGGAAGTTGTGTGACACACAATATACTACAGTGGTGTTGGCTAGTTTGCAAGTATATGCATATATGCAAATTCAACCCCTGTGGTTAATTTGTCTTGGACAAAACTGAGTAAATTTATTTACTCAATCATGATTTGGTTAAGCAATATTTGCATATTTTGGGAATGCAATTCTTAGAAAGTTCATCTTCTCTATCAACCCTTTCATACATCTCCTAAATTCTATTAGGTTGCTAAGCATAGCTTACGAAATACATGTAACTGAAAGATTACTAAATGCTTGTCTCCTGCCTCAAATTCCATTCTGAGGTCTCTTAAATTTATAATTAGATTATGGGTCTCTGTCCCAATGCTCTCTGGATAAAATATTTGAGATGTCCATTTCTATTCGGGAACTGAAGTTTCTGCTTTGCCTCTGAGACAGACACAACCTCACCCTAACCTGACTCATAAGAATTTTTGTTCATTTAGAATTGATGGGGAAAATAATTGTTTACAGTATCTTAAAACTACTTGGGAGAAAAGGGGAAACACAAACATAAAGCAAATCACATTAAAAAGGGAACAAAAATGCAAGTGGGAGGAATCAAGTCCATAATATCTTTTTTTCACGTTCACTTACAAACTGTGGCATATTATCAACAGCCTGAGATAAGCTCTAGGCATCAACTTACATAAAATAGAATGAAATAGTTCCAGTTAGACATCTGTTACTTGTTATATCTTAACAAAGGTTCTTGCACAATTATATCTGTCCTTGTAAGGATCAATAGATAATTACATTAAGATTGAACAAGAGAAAATATTTACATAGTGGCTTCAGTAAACAAAACAACATTGTTTTAAAATTAAAGCTGTTAAATTCAGAAAAATATGTTATAGCTTCCAGTAACAACTGAACTTCCCTATGACTCATCTTCAGTGTTGATTTCTCCTTTCTACTAAAAGGAGGAGTTCTTTTCAAAGGTAATGGGGTGGGTGGGTGGGACTATTACACTATTTAAATGCCTTGTCAGAGTAAAACAGCTGTTTCTTTAGGACAGTCACCATAATAAAACCAGAAAAGAAAGTAACTTAAAAAAAAAAAGCTCAACAATCCCAAAGATGAAGTTTATGTGGCAGATTTTTGCAATATTTTATGGCGCATATGGCTATCACCTCATTCCCAGGATTAAAGAATGTGGAGTCACTTGTTCACAGGTATGTTACAATTTGATTTATATCTGCAGTCTCTAAATAGCACCATCCTTTCTCCATTATCTGATTCACTGAGGAACATGTGTATTTGCTACAGTTGTGTGTCCATAGAGAAAGATGTCAATCTTTTAGGCGCAATCTTTTTCTAAAATATGGTATAAATCTGTGTAGTGCTAGGATTCAGAAAAAACTCATGGTTACATTTGCAGAGAATTAATAGATTTGTTATTTTGCATATTGGGACTGGTAATTCTTGAAAATATATTGATTAGATCATTATTACCATAAAATATCAGTGATATTTCTAGATTCTGCATCTATATATGATATGATAAATCAGAAAAATGCAGCACATTGTCATGTCACCATGCCATTAAACTTTGATTAATATTAAATCATTAATACTTATGTTTTAATTTCTAAAATGAATGAAAATATCTTGATTCAAGTCAAAACATAAAGTTGTATATTAAAGTATGTTTACATTGTAATTTGAATATGTAATATTTAGATTTGGTCTTTCTGGGCACCAATTGTGTTTTTTTTAAAAAAAAAATACATTATTTCTATTGCACTTTTAGCTTGCAATATCTCCAGAATGGTGGTTTTCTAAATTAACTCCACTTGAGGGCAGCCTTGCAGATGGTCTGAGTTAGAAGTCAAAATTGTGAAACGCTAACGGATGCTTGAAAAACTGAGTTATGAACCACAAAATGTTAGAATGTGTTTGCTAGCAGAATGTCTGAAGTATAATTGGAAATCCAACATTGGTGAGGATTTTTTCCTGAGAGCAGAAATGCTTCAATTTACCCAGAAAGAAGGGAACAAGCCCACCTTATTTTTTCTCAGGACAGACAGAGTTAGTAGCTCTGTAGGCTAATTATTTGGTATTATTTTTAGAGAAGGAAGGCTAACCTCCTTGGGTTATTTAAATAATTGGCATAAATTAATTTCTGCCTGTTTAAAAAAAAACACCCATGAGAATTATCATTGATGCATACTATAATACTTTTTGAAGAAATGATTTGTAAGGTACGATGTTGAGGCACACCCACCCACTTTCTGACTTTGGTATCTTGTTATTTGAGAAGTTATCAGCTGAAGTTGACCAATACAATTCACCAATTTTGTGTTGAATGGGCCTTAGGGAAAGCAATGAAGGATTGACTAGTTGGTGCTGATCCACATTTGCAATTTATGTACTGCTGTAGGTGATTCAGATGAATGTTGTGCCACCACCTTGGATTTAAAGACTAAAAGGTGCTTTGGAGTATTTCTGGGCACATACTCGTAGTATCTGTCACAGCTCCTTAAACTAAATGTATTTGGAATGTACAGCAGCTGTGAAAGGCAGCTGTGTGATCCCAAGAACAGGCAGAGATGCTTTAAGGCAGAGGTCTTCAAAACTATGCTGGCTGGAGAATTCTGGAAGTTGAAGTCCACAAGTCTTAAAGCTGCCAAGTTTGAAGATCTCTGCTTTAAGGAGTAACAAGGAGCTATGCCTGTGCTCCAAAGGACCTTTTGCTTTTAAATCTGAAGTGCTGCCCAGTCCTCACACAGGTGTTTGTTAATGAATTGTTTCACGTGGCTGAGCAAACCCAAATGCACTTACCTGTACTCAGATCTTGGAATAGGACTGGGGAAGCCCGATTCTGAGTCTACCTCAGCCATGGAAGTTCATTTTCTCCTGTGACCAACATATTTTTCAAATGTCATGGGGGTGGTGTGGTGCGAAAAAGAAAGACTTCTGGAACTTGAGGAACTTCTGTCAAGTTCCAGAAGAAAATCTGGGGATATAAATCTCAACAAATCCAAGAAATCCCTGCCTGAAGAACATGCACCTGACAAATTGTCCTCTTGCCTTCAAACATTCACAACAAAATAATGGTTTGATACCACAGGAATAGAATAGAATAACAGAGTTGGAAGGGATCTTGGAGGTCTTCTAGTCCAACCCCCTCTTAGGCAGGAAACCCTACACCACTTCAGACAAATGATTATCTAACATCTTCTGAAAAACTTCTAGTGTTGGAGCATTCACAACTTCTGGGGAGGCAAATTGTTCCACTGATTAACTGTTCTAACTGTTAGGAAATTTTTCCTTAGTTCTAAGTTGCTTCTCTCCTTGATTAGTTTCTACCCAGTGCTTCTTGTCCTATCCTCAGGTGCTTTGGAGAATAGCTTGACTCCCTCTTCTTTGTGGCAACCCCTGAGATATTGGAAGACCGCTATCATGTCTCCCCTAGTCCTTCTTTTCATTAAAGTAGACATACCCAGTTCCTGCAACCGTTCTTCATATGTTTTAGCCTCCGGTCTCCTAATCATCTTTGTTGCTCTTCTCTGCACTCTTTCTAGAGTTGTGCTCTTTCCTCCAACACTGCAGATACTTATTCAGATAGCCACAAGAATGTTGGGATGTGAGAGAGAAAGGGGGAAGAATTACAATGTCACCCCTGGTGATCTCATGCTACTCTTTTATGTGTGTTGAGCAATGAACGGTACCATTGATTTAAATCTACCTGAAAGGGTCTTTATAAATCTTTTGCCAATCTAGTCTCCCTTAAATGTTTTGAGACTTAACTCCCTAAATTGCCAATCACCTGGAAGATCCAAGTTGGGAAAGCTGCCACTGCACAAGATTGCACTGTTAATGAGCTACATTACCTAATGTTCTTTTTAAAGCAGAACCCTATAGGGAAATCCCCTGATTTGACTTGTATCCTGGTGCAGTTAATTTTGCAACTCGTGTCTGGTGAACTTCTGTGTGTGAAGAATGGATATTTTGCTACATTCTGATTCTTGAGAGGTGGGGGTGGGTATGTGCGATGCACCAAAAGTGATAAAACATTCATAGCATGGATTTCTTTTCCTTTACTTCCCATGATTAAAATACGTTTTCAAAGAAGGAAATAGCAATATTTTACATGGGATTTCCCTCCCGAAGGAAAGTTGATTAAAAAGCAGTTAATGAATCATGAGGGAGCTCTTTCCCAATCAGATGTGACTTCAGTTTTTCACCTTTGGTACAGTTCAGCTTAATGACCTGTGTGTTGTAACCTGTACAATTTGAGCAACTAGAAGAAAACAGCTTTAAAGTAAAAGTAAAGCCAGACTCAAAGATTTGCTTATAAACTGGACTGCATTGATTCATGTCACATCATCATTTTTGCTGATTTATTTTGAAAGAGAATTCAGATTAAGGTCACTTGCCAATCAGAACAAAAGCAAGAACTCAGTTAGCACTGACTCATCAGAACTGAACAAATCAGCCAATTGTTTTCCCAAAGAGAGCTGGGCAGGACAGAAAGGAAGCACTTATAAATGTGTTTTACTCCATTATGCTTAATGGATACTCATATAATCCCTCATGTAATACTATTCTATAATACTTCAGCAAAGTCCTCATGTTTCATTGCCGCTTCTTCAGAAAATGCTGTGGTCTGTAGAGTTCAATTCAAGTATTAAAAAGTCATACGAAGAAAGATCCCATTAGGATGGCAACTAAGCCACAATTGGTGCTGCACATGGGTTTATAGTGGATTGAAAGAAGATTTTTTTAACAAGTGCAATTTAATGGGAATTTTGAAATCCTTCCAGGGTCTGAAATTATTTCTTTAAAAAAAGGAAAATAAGGTAGTAGCAGTCATAAACCAAATGGTCCATTCGTTTGAGTAAAGCAGACTATTTCTTGATCCAACTGCAGGCCTCAGTTTAAAAATATGAAGAATGCCATTGACTTCAATCAAACAAGTTCACACATTGCATTTTTCTATTAAATGATTGATGTCTAGATATATACTTATGCAGATAAGTTTGGGATGTAGCTTGTCTCCATGACGGTGCAAGTATAAGCAGATTTCTAGTGTACAAATTGCATTGTTTTTTCTGTCTTGTTGTGTGCCCTCACAAATACCCACTCTAAAGACTGCTAGTTCCCCATCAAGAATACACATCTCTATATTCATCTTTTCTCATCCAAATAATAAACATAATTCAATGAAGAGCTATTCCAGTAATGTGCAAGGATATTTACAAGGAAGGAGTCATTGTACCCATTTCTTGGTTTGATGTGGGACCAAAGCTTTACTGAATTTGGCCAGTCCAGCCAGAGGGGGTGACTACTCTAAATGAAAAAAGATTATGCCATTAGTGTATAAACTCAGAAAACACCGGTAGAGTTGGGGCAATTTGTCCTGTGGCCCCAGCTTCTGCTAGTTTGGATTACACATTAACTTTGTGCCCACAACCACAACTGTCATACAAATTACTCAGCAGAGTCACAAGAGCATTGTGTAAGCCAGGCAAAGAATTTCTGAAAATATTTTTCCAATACATTGGAAAAATGAACACATTTCAGATCCCATTTTTGCAGTTCTGAGATGGTTAAGTTCTTTTCAGAAAAAATATGAGATGAACCTCATTTTAGAAGATAGTAGGAAAATGACCGTTAAGGCATGGAATACTGCATTAAGCTGTTTAGTGTAGGCCTGGAGATCTTCCCAAGATCAGACAAGGTACAGCAAGTGGCCAAGCTCCAACAGCAAGTTTTTCTTTTACAGAAAGTAGAAGCAAATTAGGAAAGGTTCCTGTATAAAACAGAAGGCATTTTAATATCTATTCTCCACTTCAAAGGCTGAAAATGTCAGTCCTTGCCTTCTGGAGATGTCATTGTGTCCCTGCTGGAAATCCCATCCCACATCTAGGTGAGATGGGAATAAAAAACCCTTGGATTAGGGCAGGGGTGAAATTCAAAATTTTTCCCTACCGGTTCTGTGGGCGTGGCTTGGTGGGTGTGGCAGGGGAAGGATTTTGCAAAATCTCCATTCCCACCCCACTCTGGGGCAGGGGTGAAATGCTTCCGGATCGGACCTGATCGCTTGATTCGGTAGCATTTTTTTCCTGTGGTTCGGCGTTCCGGTAGCGATCACCGCCTGGGTTTCGTTACTTCCTGTGTTTAACCAGCGCGGGCACTTCCGAACTGGTAAGGAAGGTAAGTAGATTTC